CTAAGCTGAGCACCTGGCCCGGAACACAAGCAGCCTTCTCTAAGCCAAAACTAAATTGATGGCATCATCTAAGGAGAAGTGATAAAAAAAAAAAAAAAATCATAAATATCAATAGTCACTTTATAAATAGGATATTAAAGAAAGGAGGCTGCTCCAAAAATTAAAGCAATGTGAAACAAACACATACAATCACAAGATGTGACCATTTTCCCCTTCTGAATTAAATTATTAGTACCTAAATAGCTTTTCATTAGTTTACTCATTTTTTCCTAATAACCCCTGTGATATTTAAATGTAGTTTTAACAATGTATAAAACATAGAATGGATATCTTATTTAAAGGGAAACATAAATATGGTAAAGGTAGAAAGTCTACAAGGATGTTAAAAAGAAAAAAAATGAAAAATAGGATCTTTAAAGAGGCAAAGCTATGCAAATGACTAAAATTATTCTTGAAGAATCTAACAGTCAAAACTCAGATCTGCAGAAACACTGTGAGCTTATACATATGTATGACACCTAAAGGGCTCAAAGAAATAGCCACAGAAACAAATAATTAAAGAAATCTATCTAGTTTTACTTCCCAATATAAGTAGACACAGTAGACACTATACACATAAAACACCATAGCCCTGAATGCCAAATACAAATTCAAACCTCTCTTTGTTGAGGAAAAAATATATTCTGCATAGGCATACTCATTTATTCCAAATGATCTCTTTGTGGTTATTAAATAGTTTAGTAATCTATTTGACTGGAGACATCACCAGTAATAACACCAAGAGAGTAAGTGTGAGAGATATTCAAGTTTGGTTCTTTAATAATTCATGCACATTTTGTCCATTCACAATTATTTGTTGAGTGTCTACTATGTGGAAGGTACTGTGTTAGGCATTGGGGTAGCAACAAAAATGAGTAGAAGAGCTATTCATTGCCTAATGAGGGAAAAAGACCTACAAACAAATACTATTTTTGATCCACAGTTGGGAATCCGCGTATGCAGAGGGCTGACAGGTTACACACACATTTTTGAATGCTGGGGAGGTTGGTGCCCTTCACCCCCACATTATTCAAGGGTGAACTGTAATTACAATTGGAATTAAGGTGAAAAAATATGGGGTGAGAGTGGAGGAAGAACAGAACAGCTATCCTGTAAAGTGCTTTTTCTTATGGCTACGATCAAAGTATAAACACATTTTAAATGTTCCTAAAAACCAAGTCATTGCCTTAACCTATAGGTTCAGTGTCCATATAAGTTCTCTCTTTCACTTCTTGTGTCCTTGTTTTGAGACTTATTGACTCTGCTCTCTGCCGCCGGCACAAAGGTGGTGCAGACTAAGTAAGGAATACGCATGAATACACCACGATACTGGTTATCCATTTTAAGTTTTTAAAAATATAAATTTGGGGGGATATACAAAGGTTTTGGGCTTCCCTGCTGTAGGTTCACTGCTATAGTTATTCCTTGGCTCCTTTCTGCGTCATTCAGCAGCAGTGAGCAGGCCACCAGCAACTCTTACCCACTGGCTTCTCCTGGGTCTCCCTGAGACTAACCCCTACCTTAGAACTATCAGCAGTGTCAGATGGTAGCCAGAGGTGGGTGCTGAGCTGGCCCTCACTGAATGATAGCCCCTCACCTATCACTGAGTGATGACAAGAGGAAAAAGAGTGACTTGGGGATGAGTCAAGTAATTTACCAGTATTTCACAGTATTTCGACAACTTGGTTTAGCTTTTGAGCCGAAACAATTATTTCAATAAACAAATTTCTAATGCTTTAGCAGCCAACAAAATGTAGTTAAGCTTGACAAACAAACCCACTCACAGCCTCCTCTCTTTTGCCATGTTTGCCTATATACTTTTTGATTCCTGCCTCACCAAACCCTTTCCATATTCCCCGAAAGCATCAGCTACCTTGTGAAGTGTGTCTTTCTGAAATACTGTTCCCTCAGCCTGGGATACTTTCTTCCCTTGTCGATTATTTTCATTCAGCCTTTGAAACTCAGCTCAAATACTGGCTCCTCAGCAGAGCCTTAGCTGACACAGTGCATTGTTAAAAACCCATGTCACCATGCTCATCTACCTCCTTATGAATCTGGTCCTTTTTCTGTCTCTTGCTACTAAACTATAAGTTCTCTGGGAGTGGAAAATTTTGTGTTCATTTCTGTTTCCCCAGTACCAAGTATAGTGCCAAGAAAGATTCAATAATTGGTGAATGATGAACACTTTGCCCAAAGTAAGCATTCAATAAATGTGTCATTGTCAATAATTTCAGTCAAAGCTTGCTAAAATCTATTTCACCTGCTCTGCTTTCAGTAAGCCTAAAAATGTTGCTAGGAAAAAATAAGGCCTTTTGGGGAGCCTACTACTAGCTCCTTTTTGGGTTCATCTGATGAGCAGTGAACCTGTTGTTCACCATAGTAAAGACACATGAACCCTAGAACCACAAGTACTGTTGCTTAAATCTTACTTCTGCCCCTTCATAAAGTTAACACTGAAATGTTCTTCTTTGTGATACTGTGTAAGTAACTTAAAGTTAAGCATCTCAAAGTTTAGTTCCTTTTTGTACTGCTTTTCTGAATTCAGAGAGTCCCACTGTGATATTAATTACAAAAGTATTTTGTGTTAATCTAAAAACTAGACATACTTTTTACTGGCCATACATTTAAATGATATAAGTAAGGAACATTAGCTATTGGTGTTATATGTAAATTTAAAACATACAATGCACTTCCACAGACATCCAAGTACTGCAGGGCCTCATTTAGCCAACATATAATGGTTTCTCTTAAAAGTATATAAATTATTTATCCAGTGTTATCAAGAAACAAGGTATTTCACAAACCAGAATTTCCTGGTAAGTTTTATAAGCATCACATATCTTCAAGATTTTAAATATTCTCACTGGATATATATTACACAATATTATGCAGTTCCACTTTTTAAAAAGCCCAGCACAACAAATATAACCTCACTTTTTCTTGATGACACAGGACCATTATTATCAATGTCAATTACTGCGCTATGCACTGTCCATCCTGTAATGTAATGGTACCCTTAAGGGTTATTGATGGATGTAAGGCTATTTGCCTTTATCCTAAGTGGATTTAGATTGTTTCTAATGACTCTGCAACCAGTGTGTTCTGATGGTTATTTTTCAAACAACTGTCTAGGTGAGGGTATGGGAATGGTTAAATTCTTCTCAAGAGCTAAGTGCATGGGCTCGGTGACTGCAATTTGTTAGGCAAAGGCCTCTTCCTTCCTTCAGTACTTCTAAATCCATGAGTTGGCTGAGATTGTCAGGAGACTAACAACTGCGTAAGTTGTCTACAAGTAGTAAATAGTGCTAGCCTTCATATGTACGCATTATTGGTTTATTATTTTTACTCAAGAAAAATTAGTCTTATTATTAAGGTAAACCTTAGGTTAGCTATCAACTTATTGTCTAAATATAAATAAAATTGTTGTTTCTAATTAATTCAAATTTTGAAAGTCCAGCCATGACCTTCAGACTCAACTGAGAAGTACTTCAATGCAGAGAGATATTCTTCAGTTACTGACCCTAAAAAATTTTAAGAATTCACCATTCTATTCCAGCATGATGGTATAAAAACTTCAAATTCTAATTCAATCCCTTTTTGACAAACTCTGCATACGGATAGCTGGTTTCAGTATATTTGAGCTCTATTTCATCAGGAAAACAGGGAGAAGGGAGGGGGGAAAATGCTTTCTTCATTCATAAAAATTTTTTTAAAAACAGGGAGCTATGTCTATGGAACAAAGAAATTTAGTAAAAGGCATGAAATCTGATATTTTGAAATTCCTGTCATAACTGGGTTAGAATATTAATCCCACATTTGCTTGTAATCTTTAAAAATGAAAAAGTCTAAAAATTTGAAAGGGCACAGTAACAAATATCCACAAACTCTACAAGGTACTAAGATACAATAAGGGGAAATCTTGCTCCTCAAGGTTAATCCAAAACAAAACATCATTTAAGTTAACTTAATAATGAATGCCTATTTATGTATCTCAAAATATCAGTTCTACTTAAAAGGTCATCCCAACTTAAAAAAAAAATAGCATTGAAATAAGTATATAAAGAAAGACTATAACATATTAAGTTGGCTGAATTAAAAGAAAAAAATTTCTTTTTTCATTGAAAAATCAATTTCTATTTTATATTGATTTCCATTATATCTACAGTAATGACCTTTCAAGTTTAAAAACAATGAATTTTAATAATATGATTAAAATTAAGTATATTTCTTGCTCAATAAGCAAAGAAAATAGGTGAATTAACATATGGGTTAGTCAGAGTTATATCAAGATTGTCGAAACTAGGCCTGCAACTGGTGGTCAGCTGACCTGATCACTTACAGCCTTTCCATCTTAGCATTCCTTTGAATTTAATACTGATGCTCAGTACTACCTCGTCAGTTTAAGGAGTATTTTAAACTGGGATATTTCTTCCAGGGTATTTCTAGAGCACTTAAATGGTCATTTAAAAGAGACTTAAGCAAAGCACAGGCCAGATTTCAGGATTAGAACTCACAATTGTTTAAATTCTCTGATAATTTGTTCTGCAACTTTATGAGTCTCATCATTCTCTACTTATGTCCCAGCTCTGGAAAATAAAAAAAAATAAAATAAAAAAAATCTCACCAGTATCTTTACAGAATTGTGATGAGTTTTGGCTAGTACCTTGAAAAAGGGCTTTCTGCAAAGATTTACACATTATAGTTCAGAGGAACTTGAATTTAAAGTATTTAGTTATATATTTTGGAAGTATCCCACAAGTAAAAATAAATTTCCCTAAAACCTAATAAACCTTACACTGAAAGTAGTGGACATTAACTACAGGTAATCTATAGAAGTTGACAACTCTGTCTTTGTAAAGAAATTCTTGAGGAGCAAAATGTTTTATTCCTTAGTAACTGTCTCTAGCTCTAAGAAGAAATGAGAAAAGTTAAATATCCTTCTAGAGAAGATAAACACTTACCGGTACTTTGAAGGGTGAGGTATATGCAGTGTCCATGGAGTTGGGTTTCTCGGATGTACTGGTCCCTGAGATACTCCGTCTGCGGGGGGATCGTTCTGCTGGCACCTCTGAAAAAGAAGAAAGAAACACCATTAAGAATTCAACACTTAAAATATTTCACTAAATTGTAAAATTATTTTTCCCCCACAGAAAATCAGTTTGCATTATATTCTATATCCACATAATTCCTCTCTATATCTCTGTGGTGTTTGAACTATCTAGACACTAGGAGATGGTAACAAATAAGAATCTGCTTTAGTGTGACAACTCATGTCTCATCTATGCACATATAAAAAGTAATTTCCTCTGAGCTATGTTTAATATCTGTAAGTTCACTTAAAATTTGCATCCCACAGTGTATGAAACTACTACTCTATTTGTCAGCAATATAGGAGTTAACAGAAATTTCTGATATTCCTGTGAACAAAATATAGTCTAGTGTTGCTCATGACTCGATGGTGTTTGCACAAAGGTCAAAGTTCAGTTCAGTGCAGATAAGATGATTTACCAGACTGCAACCAAAGGGCTATGAGACGACTGAAAGCTGCTGCCAGGAGAAAATAACATATATGCCTATGCAGATATAAAAATAGATCAGCTTCTCCATGTTCTGGCAATATGACCTTACTAAGACCTCACTCTGGAATCCTAAATCTGTCCAAACTACCTAATAAGCTTCAGATTTTGCACATAATGGGATAATCTCCGATTTAATTACTATACACTACATTAAGGTTACATTTAATTTTTTTCAGAGTGATATACATATGCATATATATGCACATACACACACACAGATGATAGATATATACATATTATACCTTTATCACAACTGCTTCCCATCTCCACTTCAACTGACAGACATATAGGAATCCAGCTTCTCAGATAACATTAGATAATCTCAACATGGACAAGGGAAAAAAAAAACACATCCTAAAAAAAGTATTCTGTGTTATCTTCCAGATCTTTAAAAATAAGGAGTAAATCGTGACTCCGGAGACTGACATTTTGCTTCCTGCTGTTCTCCCTTTAAAAGATAGATGCAGTTTAAACTTCCATTTCTGGCCTCCTGGCCCCTGGGATCCGTGCTACTTCCACTTAAGAGAGAGCGTTTTTCTCTCGCTCCCTCCCTGTGCCTCGCTCTTCCCCCTCCCTCCCTACAGCTTGCAGGGAGAGTAAGCAAGAAAGAAACACACAGGACTGCAGCTATTCGATCAATCGCTCCCACTGCACATCCTCATTAGTTATTTTCAGGCTATTAGCAAACACCCAACCACTGCCTCCCCCCAGTTACAGAAAATTTCACTGTATTGTACTAACTGCAGCAAGAAAAAAACATTTACTGAAATTTATATTCAGCTGATGCCAAAAGGACACCATTTTATTCAGATTCAGTAATGCACACAAGTCAATCGCTCCTATGAAAATCCAATTGGAAGTGCTTACCCTATTACTATCTTTGCCTGCTGGATACTGATCTGCTTTCCATGACTAAACATCTTCTCTGTGACATCTTGACTAGTGAGACATAAGCCAAACTGCAACCTTCCTAATGACTGAAAGAGTGACAGCAGAGTGTCTTAAATGCCTGCAGTACAACAAAGTTCCACGCTATTACTGTATTTTACAATCACGACCAATAACTAACCTCAAGTCTTGCGACTTCTCACTAACCATCAGTGGTTAAATGAGTCTTAATTTACAAAGTCATTTTCAGAATTAGGCACACATAATTTAGTGCACATTTCTAAAAAATGGGAGTATAATGAGCTAAAATTCACAGGAATGGCACAAAGCACTGAATTTAAACAAATCAGTTTGTCAAACACATTGAACAAGACCTTCAGACTTCAGGGACATGACATTAAAGAGTTATTATCCAAGTAAGGCAAGTCTCGTGGGGGCAGGCAGGTGGGCAGAGGGGCTGGGGAAGGTGGAAGATAACCTCAACCTTCCTGTAATAATTAATTATGATTAGAAAGTATAGCAACTGAATATTACAATAAAATATATTTTAATCTCTGAATTATTGATGGAGAAACTGAATTAGGAGAAAAAGAAGTCCCATTAAGCAAGGATAAAATGATCTAGTGAACAGTTTCCTTTAATTTACAATGTTCTAAGAAAAAATATTGAAACTTATTTCTTCACTTTCTTCCAAACATCTAAGCTTATTTTCAGGCATACAAACTCATTAAATAAATATATTTCAGTGCTTGTAACCATTTGGAAGTTATTGGCTAAAATGAACAATCACATTTCAAACTTAACAAATATGTTATTTGTTTGTGTGTTTTTTTAGATTCTTTCTGTCTCATGAAAAAAAAAACAAAACCCACAACTCTGATGTAGCTTAAATAATTTATTGAATTAAAAATAAGAAATTAAATTATTCTAGATGTTCGAACAATAGCCCCTAAAGAGGGAAAAGGATACAAAGTAAGCTAACTCAACTAACAAGGGGAAGACGTCTATACTTCTTGACTTTCTCAGCCCCCACAACAATGCAGCAATGCAAAAAAAGAGAATAAAAAAGGCCTTTTAATATCCAGGTTCTTTAGTTCACAGAAGATTCATAACTATTTCAAAGCTGAGAGAAGGATATACACCCCAGGAACCAATGTCCACTTAGAAACAGGGTGGCAGCATCAGCAAGGGCAGAATTAACAACTCGCTGGGTTAGTCACAGGCAGGCCTGCATATGAAACTGGTCCAGTTACCTTTAAGTCTCCAAGCCGAAAGGAAAGCTAGATTTCTGCTGAGTTGCATGGAAAATCTATAGTGGTTCCAGGGGTCAAAATTAGACAGCTTTCTCCCCTACCCCCATTTCTGCTACATGCTATGGCATTATTTTCACCTGCAGTAAAAATTAATGTTTTTTCATAGTCACAATATTTAACTATAGTCATTTTAAAATATGCTCGCTCTCTAAGGCTAAGACATATAATATGGTTTCAGTAGATAAAGGTCTGAAACATTTTGTTCACGTCCTCATCATCTAAAAATAGTATTTTTCATCTTCAGATTGAAAGGTGAAAAAAGTTATAAAAAAACTGGTTAAGTTTCAAATTTGTCTCATCATTTCCTTTGCCATTAGGTATGAACTGAGATTAGGTGACAACTTATAATAATGAGAGATAACCTCCAATCCAGCCCTACAGAGGATGATGTATTGAACAAAGAGAACATTTGGGTGCTTTTCTTAGCAGCCCTATCAACTTATCTGTGTGTCGTGTGAGCCATGTCACCTTCCCTGCTCTGGTCTTCATTAATAATCTGGGTCACTCAGACCAACCAGAGATGAAGAGAAGACGAATGAGTTCACATGCTGTGATGCAAAATTAGCACTTTGGAGGAAAGGGGCTCTCTAAATACAAAGTGTAATATAATGTCATTCCCTCAACATACACATTTTCCTCTTTGTCAATGTGCTTTCTTTGAAAAGTGTGGCAAAGAAATTGACAACTGGATAACTATTGGGGCAAAAGCACTTTTGGTGGAGGATCTTTCTGTTCAACAACCAGAACTCAACCTCTGCCTTTAGAACCTAATATTGTGTTCATGGCCTTTAGTTCATTTACCAGGAAGCTAATGTCAAAAAGTGTTTCGGGGAGAGAAAAAAAAAGACAGTGTTAAGGAGATGGAAAGGTATAGTAATTTTGCTATAATGAATATAGTGAATAGGTAGTTGCCTTGAGAAGGTGAGTGAGAGTCAATACTTAAGAAAGTAAGGAAGTCAACCTTGTAGATTTCCCAGGGAAGAACACTGCAGGCAGCCGAAGCCGATACAAAGCTTCTAGCGTGAGAGCAGCAGGGAGGCAGTGGGACTAGTGTCAGTGAGTGGGGACAAAGAGTAGAAAGGTATCTGTTATATAACATCATTATGGTCAAACATCTATAAGCATAAAACCAACTACATTTACTTTTTGCCCAATCACATTTAACCATAATTTATATATCATCATGTCATATATACATATATGTAACATAAATAACATAGCCAAAAGTGCCATGAATTCTGATGCTTAGCACTTTTAGATTGAATTACAATGGTTTCTTTAAATGATAAATAAAATGATTCATAAATACTTTTTTTAAGAGAAAAAGATACCATAAAAGTTATTTAAGCACCTGTTTTGTAAATAATCTCTCTAGGGTGGAAATATTTTTATGACAATTTTAGCTACTATTGAGTGTCTGTTATGTGCTTAAGCACTCCGTCTGTCTAATGTCTGTCTTACTTAATCCTTGGAAGAGCCCCTGAGGTAGTAACAATGATCTCTTATCTCTTGGATAAGAGCAGGGGCAAATTTAAAAGAAGGGAATAATCTTACCAATGTGAAAGTCATTTCAGAAAATTGAATATGAAAGGTGAACAAAATGTAAAAAGATATTTATAAAGTTTTAATCTGGTGGACCAATGATGTAAGGACCCAAAATATCCTTCTAAGAGCAAAATTCTCTAGTTCTAACAGACTAGAAAAACATTACACATTCACAGATGCAGTCAGTTTGGCATATATATGTCTAAATATTTCACATGAAGAGCAACCCAAGCGAATTCCTAGTCATTCTGTTGTCCAGAATTACAAAATATAAATGAATGGGAATGCTCTGCCAGTTATAATTATTCACAGGCCCCTTTAATATTTTTGATATTATACTTAGGAAACAAGTGTTCTAATATTCTTAAAAGGGGAATTTTTCAGTTCTCTGCAAAAACCTTTGTAAAAATCAATAGCATTTTAACATGGCATGGTAGAAAGTTGAATACACACCCAACTGTCTGCGCCCATTCCAGCCACTGAAGTTTCAACGTGGGCAGCACTGCTGTGAATGGGGCGGCCTCGCTATCGTCTGTGTTCCCTTACACTGTGTACATGACGGTAACACAAACAGGAGTGGTTCAAGTTATTAATAAATGAGATGCGCAAATAACAGCTCTCCATGCTGTGCATTCTAAATGAGAAGAATACTTCTTCCATAAGAGGCATATAATACATTTAGGAAACAAAAGGAAGGCAGGCTTAGTATTAGGAAATGGCTTTGTACCTCTCTAATATAGAGG